TATCTTTCTGTATCCCAAAGTATCTCTTCTAGAAGGAATCTTAAGCCTATATCTTATAGGATTTCTCATGGCTGTGCCTAGTTACATACTTCAGTTTACTGTTATTTCTGTATAACAGCACCAGGTCTTGTAGAGGTTCTCTGTGTTACTGTGACAAGTTTTGATGAAAGAGGAGGTCCTCATTCTTTTTTGTCCCTTTTTCTGTAATAGTAATTCTAAATTGTTCATTTCATCCAGAGTTGCTCTGGTGATCTGAATGGAACCTGGTGGTTTGCTTCAAGATTTTTATCCCATCTTGTCTTTGACAAAACATGAGATAATCTTTCTTCACGATCATACTTAACCATACTTATTTCCTTTCTCAAAGTCAGGTTCCCAAGAGTTCAGATGAATTACCTCTTATCCTTTTTGTATTTCTCTATGTATTTTTCCCTATGCCCTGTCTCTACTTCCACTCAAAAGCAAAACCAAATGCAAAGAGGCTGACATGAAATAAAAATTTATTTTATGTGTTCTTTACAGAAATTAAAAGTTAGGAAGAAAATATATAGATCACTGAAGTCATCAAAGTAACCTTTTTACAGTCTGAATTGTAAGCAAATTATTAATCCTTGATTATTTCTTTATCCAAAGTATATTTTTTGAAATGTGTTTTGTATTTATATGGTCATCTTCAATATAAGAACCTTTTAGAAAAGTTGCAGACTAAAGGAGATCACAGCAGATGTGAAGAAAACTCTCTTTTTAGCAAAGCAGCAGTCTGTTAAGAAAGGCTTTTGTCTGAGAGTGTTGGAAGTCAAGTAAGGCAGTCTTGTAGGTTGTTCAGAAAAGTGGGGCCTTGCAGTTTTCTCTGTTTCTCATTTTAACTGCAGGTCTTAAACTGTTTAATACAATTTTTTTTAAAGATAACACCTTTTCCTAAAGTGCATTAAAATATTGACTTAAGCAAATTAGTTTTATCAGAGTAATTTCAGTGATTAAAAGCAGCAATATTAATATATGCAGGATTGAAACTCAGTATTAGGTTAGTCTTAATAGTTATTTATTACAGGTAATGTTATTTCCAAGATTTCCTTTGTTTGACAAGCTCTGTAGCGAGAAACTAGAAAATGGTAAACTGTAAATACAGTCTCACCTTAACATTTAAATGATGTTTTTTCTATGCTTTCATATCTGTAACCCTGTTTCAAATAATATTTCATTTTCTGCCTTTTCTTTCTAGTCCTAAATATATAAATGTATTATTAAGTACTGAGAGTTAATTGTCTCAGTACAATTTTATTATTTATTACCCATGGTGTAAGTGTTGAAATTTCATTAGTGTAAATATGTGTATAAGGGTGTCATACTAATCAAAAGAGGACTCGGAGACCTTTTGAAACACCATGCAGATGGACTGTATGGAATCTATAATCCCATGGTACATCTATATCTTCACTCTGTTAATCAAAAAATATCAAGAATGGAAGTGCAGTGATTTGACCATATTTCTGCACACCTTTTAGTGTGTTGTGCTCCCTGAGAGAAGTCTCCCCCAGTAAAAGTGGTGTTTGAGCACAAAAAAGTAGCAGTATTTTCTTGGACTTTCAGAAGATGCTGCAACTCAAGTATGACTGAAACAGATTTTTTTTCCTAAAATTAGGCTCCTTTTTAAATACTTAAAATATATGTTCTCAAACACATGTTCTAGAAGGGTAAAGTTGGAACAAACACACTGTAATCTGTAATTCATTGTCCCATAAGTAGTAGGAAAGGTAATAATACTTAAGAAAATAGAGAAGTTTAATTTCATCATGGCTTAGATTATACTATTCAAGAAACACCTTAAAAAACCCTCTATGAGTTTTAGAAGTGGTGTGCGGTAGAAATTCTATTTTTTTTTTCTATAAAATTGTCAGTAGCCAACCTGCACTTTCAGGAAATCCTCAATTACTGTATGGAAGTAGCAGACTCAAAAATTGAAATTTGTAATGTAAATTCATCTTACAATTTCTAACCTATTTATACATCTTATTTTCAGAAGCCTAACTACTAAATATGAGTGCTTGCCTAATACAAAAGATTTGCCAATTTAAAAGCAAAACCCCAAAACATTCTATGCTGCATAGTAAGTCAGAATACTGAGTCCTATCCAACTTTCTTTCAGAAGCAATTTTGCTGAAAGGTTTTTGCAAAGCAATTGAGAATGTATAATATTTATCAGCCAGTGAAAATTCAATACAATCTCCAAATGCCTGTTTCTGGTGGGGATGTTTTAATGTTGGAAAAATCACTTTGTGTTATTTTGGTATGAGAGAAATAAATAGGTGTATCTCCAGAATTATATAGAAGCATGAAAAAAAAGAGATTAATTCTTACAAAACGCTGTCAATTTTTTTTTTATATAAATGCATATGTGTATATATATATATATATACAGTGTAAGAGAGATCAAGCTTCAAATACAAGCATGATATATGAAGGAAAAAAGCACCAAAAACACAGGATAAAAAAGAATTCTTTTCATTATTTTGCCTTTTTTTTTTTAATAAAAGGTATTTTTCATAGTTGATTCTTGTTCATTAATACAGTCTGCTTTTAAATTTATTAATCTCTTTTTTTCCATATTTTAAACAGGCTTTTGCTAAAATAAATAATGAAATGCTTCTACTTAGTAGATGTCATAGTCCAACAGTCACCTGAAATTATTATCATCACTCCTTTTTCCCTCATGGCCATATATTTCTGTGCTCTATGCTTTAGATTGATATGAATTGAAATCTGAGATGTTTCCAGTTTCTTAAATCATCTGTGGTATCAGTGATTATCATTATCCAGTGTTGAAGTGTTCTACATATTTCCCTATAAATCCGCTAGTTAAGTTTGATAACGACTGTGAAGAACAAACTATTTTTCCTTTTAATAAGCAACCTAGCACACCAAAACATACAGTACCATATGTGCTAGTTAGCAGTGGTGTTGATAACACAAATTATCAGTTTTCTGAAATACTCTAGTCAAAATATATTAGCATTTCTTTTTCTTTTGGGGATTTTCAGGATGGAAGTTTAATACTTAGCTATAATAAAGAAAATCTATTTGGACAATAAACAATTCTCCATTCTTTTTGGTTAGAATTTTTTTTTGTTTGTTTTTTTGTTGTTGGTTTTTTTGGGTTTTTTTTGTATTTTTTTTTCCTGTTTAGTCTTAAGTGATAAAAATCAGTTAATTGTAATTTCAGACTTTGGTAAGAGAAATACTACATCATAACACCAAAATCAGAACTGTAATTCTGTATCTGAACAAGCTTAGCTTGTGTACTACTGTGGACTCAGACACATCTTTTGCTAAATAATTCTAGGCCCTCACAAATGGTCCTCTCACGATGGTCCCACATTTGGTACATGAAGATGTGGGCAAATCCTTTATAATTGCCTTGATTTTTACAATGTGGGACGCCTGCTGACCAATAGCAGTTTGCCAAACTGCATATTTTTTATAAGATCCTATACATGATCATATTTTCTACATAACCATCTAGAAATGAGTCCCAGTTGATGCTTAAACTCTTTTTGGTTTTATTGTTTTACAATGAGTAACAAGTTGGAAGCAAAAAATAGGGATCTGTTTCTTAAGGTTTTATTTTTCCTGTTTTGACTGCCTGTTTATGTACAAACTATGATAAAGGGATCGTCATGCTGTTTAACATACATCTAAAATATTTGTGTGTGCATATGTACAAGCCCATATTTTGCTAATACACAACTTTATGCATTCACAGTGTCCCAGCTTTCTCATATGCATTAAGAGTTTTAGTGCAAAAGTATGTATACCTATTTTATGAGGGACTGTCAATGATTGTAAGTAACAGAACTGCTGAAAGTGTGAAATTTTGCTTTATTTATTTCTAAATAGTTTTGATTAGTAACTATATGAGCATATGATAAATTCAATTGTATAGCACTTTAACACTTATTCTTGACATAAAAATAGTGTAATTTTTTATATATTATAATATTTATATATTGCAAAGATGTCACAAACATGCTTTGAATAAGTATTGTATGTTATGTTTTGAAAATTAGAATTTTACTTTTTTACTACATTTATAAAGAAAAAGAAGAGTTTTTCTGTCACAATCTAATACATTTAAAGGAGAAATGTGTATATAAGATTTTTAAACAGAGCAGTGCTTTTTTAATATGTTCAAGAATTAATGTTAAGCGTATGTATATTATTTAGAAAAGATGATCAATAAATATGACTCTTAATTCTTTTTTGTGTTTATTTTGAACACAGAACTATAATAAGCTATTGACCTTTGCTCAACTAAAGGAACGTTTTTAACAGTAATCATAAATATTTTGTAGTTATTTGATATGAAGTTATTAGTTACATGTTCATCCATCATGAGATTGATGCTTACATTTTTTCACCTGCTTCTAGATTAAAAAAGATCAATGAATATTTTAGCAGTTAGAATATTGCCAGAAACTCGGTAGCTTCAGCGTAACTGTTGTAAGGTATGGAAGACTGTTTGCTGGCTACAAGTCCTTACTGTGGAATGGTGCTTTATAAAGTGCCAGAGTAAATGTCTCTTAACTTCTTTCAGACACTGGCCCTGTTTGTTCGTAGGCTGATAACTGTTTCTAGTGTGCTCATTGAACTTGCTGGAATTTTTTTTACTTATAGTCTTCATTTTCCCCAAGAAGAGGAGAGGGGAAAGAATATATTCCTCATGTGGTCAACATATTTTTGAGTATTTATGTGAGTTCACCATCTTGATTTCAAGTCATGAATTTGTTTTTACATGCATAAGCATGCATATATACATGCATTATTTATCCAATTGACTTTAAATTCCATTAAGTTCCAATGAGTAGGAGAAAGATTTTTGTCTTAGGCATTTTTTATTTATTTTAATTTTCTAGTTATGTTATTTTGTTGGTTTATTTATTTTTTTAACTGTTCAGTCTAAGGCTTGTAAAGGTTGATTTGCTCCTGAACTGCTTTGTTCCCAGACATTGCCATCTTCCCCAACTACCACCAAGTCCTCTCCATCTGATCCCATGACCACCTCCAGAGCCAATCAGGTACAGTATCATCCTACCATCTACACCATACTTTTCACGGGTGACAGCTTGCAAACTGGAGAAAAAGATATGGTGGGTTAAGGATTTATTCGTTCATTCACATATATACACCCATAACCATAGATATCTAACTCTTGTTAGAAATTGGTAAAGTAAATGCTTCTTTTAATTTATTTTGGTGGGCTTTGTTAAAATCTCTGATGAAAGCAAAGTATCTTTTAAAATATTTGGCTTGCTTTTTTTTCCCATTTGATAAATTGCAAGGATACAAAACTGGTGTGTTTGTAGACAGAGTAACTCTTGGTTTATATGTGTTTGTGTATATATGCACACACATATTTACTTCCTGGATCAGTTTTAAATTATAATAGAATTACCCCTAAACCATGCTTAAATAGCTGGAATTCAACTCAGCAATGGCGAACAGACTTCTTTATTGCAGAATTTTGAAATGAGTTTGCGGACAGTAACATAGGGGCATTATTTAAATATAAAAGTATTTTAAATTACAATTTATTGATGAACAATGAAGTAGAATTAAATCTCTCTAAAAGCATGCTAAACACATCTAAGTTAGTTTAATTCATATCATATTTTTAAATGCATAACCTGTCTTTTTAGAAGCACGTTAATTATACTAATTTATTTTTATTTTAACTGGAAAAGTCTATGTCCAGTTGATTGTGTCCACAAATTATCATATTATCTTTGTCTTCCCTATACAAATTGTAAAAAATTGCTACATACCATGCTTTTTAGAACTTACTCATGCTTAAAAAATATCTTATTTATTTTTGATGTACTCTTAAACTTAATGTACTTTGTGTTCAAATAATGTAAGTATTTAGTGTATGCTAAGAGATCCCACAGTCTGTTTCAGTTAGTTGAATGTTGCTATCAGGTCTTGCATTAAATAACATCAAATATGAGAAAAGTTTACTTCACAAGCTAATTTCCCTGAAAATTAACACTGTTATTAATTACGGATTCTCTGATATTTTTGAACTGCTTAGAACTTGCTGGTGTATGAACAAACAATTTCACATGAACGAAAACATATTAAACCATTATACCTTTGATCAACACATGACATTTATTGAAGGGGGTGTCAACTACAGAAAGTAATGTAATATAGAAAGAAATTGTACAGATAGAATTAATAGAAAAATATAGGTTGTGATATCCTTGACTTGAAAGCCTTTTTCATCAGCCTGCTTCCATTCCAGCAACAGTTACTTGGCTCCATCATCATTAAGTGACAAAGATGAAATCTTTGCCAACACCTAGGGATGTTTATGAGCTCTGTTCAGCTTTTATTCTCTCTCTCTCTCTTAATTAAAGTATTTTGTTTATTTTAATTAAAAGGTTTTGAAAATGAGTGCAGAGCTTGTTTTTTAAAGGGTTCTTACTATTTTTTTTTCTTTCACACTGGTCTTTTTTTTTGATTATAAGTATATCCTGATGATCATCATTAAGAGAAAAAGGAAGTGCTTTTATTTACAGGATATACAATTTGAGCATGTTAATTAGCATAAGAGAAGCACCTACTTTTCATCTGTTCTATGAATTTTGTTATCAAAATTATAGTGTAGTATATAAACTTTAAATGACCTTTCAATAGCTAAAAATACTTATATTTATAGAAAGTTGTTCTATGAGAATATTGTCAAGTAATATAGCTAAATTCACAAGCTAAGTGACATGTATGCTTTGTGTCCTGTCTATATCCCAAATTACATATTTTAATGCATTTTATTCATAACCTGTGTTCAATTCAGTTTTCATACAATCAAGACCTTTTTTGAACAGCATCAGAACTGTATATATGAAGAAGAGTAATGAGTTCCTTAATTGACTTTTGGAACTTCTTTTATTATTAACTACTGAAACTTGTACAGGTTTATGATTATTTTACCCCTTCTTGTATTTTCTAGTGATTTCTAGCCATTCCAGCAGGAAGCACAAGGCACATGATAAGGCAATTAAGGCCTTTCTGTTCATTCTGGTGATAAGTGATGTCACTGGCAATTGTTCCCAGGCTGTAGTGGTGATTAGCATTCAGCACCAGGGTATTCACAAGTATCTGCACTGCGGCTGTCACAAAATAGGTTCCAACAGAATCATCTCAAACCTGTCAGTAGCCATGTAAGCACCCAACAGGAGAGTATCAGAGAACACCAGTAAATGTTTGGTTTGATATATGGCTGTGTAAGATGGCTCTCAATAGAAAATAACCATTCAGGTATGGGTTTTCTCACAAGATGGTATATTATGATAACATGAGAGAGCTTAATTAACTGGATGCCAGGAAATTCAGTGCTAAGGTGTAAGATGAAGTCACAGCACACTCTGTTGTGTGGATAAGATAGCATATTAGGCTTAAGATCATTCAATTTTATGTAACATTTTAATCATTAGAAGATGATGAGTTAAAGATTAGAAAGGTGATTAAGCAAGCTTTAAACAATACTTCATGCTGGGTTGCTTTTGGAGTGAGATTTTTAAGCTTGGTTGGAGGACTCCCCCATAAGTCATTGCAGTCAGAGGATTGTGGAGTCGGTGCTTTGAGGAGAACAGCTGATGTGAGCCTTGTGCTGTACAAGCATGTCAGTTGTGTTCCCCTGACAGAGCTTCAACAATTTCTAGACATACTTTTTAATACAAGAAGAAAATAGCTCTGCCAACAGAGGTCAGAGGAAGCTAGGCAGGAAATCTGGCTTGTATTAGATCTTCCTTTTAATGACTACTTTGCCTCCATTCAGATGAGGTCATAACTCCTTTGTATAGCAGTTTCAGCTTTTGATTAATTGTTTTTGGAAAAATCCAGTGTTCGTGGATTTATTTTACTTTGTTTTATGATTCTCAATGAGAAGATAGTCTCTAAAAATGCCTTATCTACTGGAAGAAAAGTTTCTTTAGAACTGTCATGTTTTGTATTATACTGAGTTGCCTTGGGTGCAACAGAAAACTTTTCACTGGAAGTGTTTTTCTCTTTAGTTCTTTGTTCCAGGAAGTTATACATCTGCCAATATTATTCTTGTAAATGTCTTATTTATTTCTTCAGTGGAACTTCCTTGGGCCTTTATTCACTTTAAAAATCCATACACTGCAAACTTCCTAAGGAAGAAAGAATCAAAGTGGCAATAGGATTTCCAATAACTTTTTTCCCCCGCTCCTGTCTGCCTGTTGCTGAAACTAACTCAATCTTTCTATACTTTTAGACTAAAGCTTGTGTTGCACCCTCAAGAACTTTGTCAGCTTTGTTTATAGCCAAACACTGACAGACATATAGATACAGCAGTGAAACTGTTCTGCTGATGCCCCTGGAGCTGGCAGAATATAGCTTTACTTTTATTTACCAGGAGGAGGAAATCAATTTGACTTCTATAAAGTACACTTCAAGAGGTAATTTCAACTCTAAAGTGATAAATAATGCACTGAACATCATATAGAACATGCTTACTTTTCCTCTGTAGAACCCAGTAAAGGTACAAGTTTTAATTATTATTTTGACAGTTGACTTTAGGTAGATTAGTATTTCTATAATTAAGCTGTTTACATATTTTTATTCATTTAAAAGATTATTTTTTCTTTTTATCTGCCTGCTTTACTGATGTTACTCTAATTTTAGAGGGAGAAATTCATAAAGCTAAGTTTTTCTTTCTCCTTTGCCTATTTGACGTATACCTGTAAAGGACACTTGTATGTCTCCTTCTCCAGTCCTCCCTTTCTCCATGAAATTGGTACCACTGCTGACCTTTGCTGCTGGCTTAAGAGAATAACAGGACCAAAACACACATTCACACTTATTAGCAAAGCAGGGGAGTGGTGGGTAGGAGTCCTTTCTCCTTGCCTTACAATTTAGATAGGCTTAAGGTTACCAATAAAATAGGATTTGTCATAGCAAACTCTGAGTCATTATCTTACTATATAAACCTTTTATTTTTTATTTTTTAAAAGCACTGTTTTTTCCCATTTGTATTTTTTACAATTATACCTTCTATTTTGCTGTGTTCTATTGCACCTGAAACTCTTATTTTATCATTTAGTACAATGTAGTAAAAATTTTGTCGAGTGCATATAGGTTTAGATTTTGTTCATTCAGTCCTCAGGTTTGCTTTTTTTGAGCATTTCTATCTGATCTTGTTGCTGCAATATTTGTAATAAATCATACTTTTCAACCTTTTCACGTGATGGGACTGAGCCAGTGTTCTTGGAACTGCCTGTACTCAGCAGGTACAGAACAAGCATATGGCTATTAAAATCTTGGTATTTGGAATTTGTACTTTTGAGTTATATTAACTCTTTATTTCATGCAAAATCTATAGCTTGCAATGTGATATAATAGTACATATATAACAAGAGATTGGGAGATTAATTGATATTTTAATGATTGATGCACCTAGTCTCCCTCTCTGACTTCAAAGAACTGCCCTATCCCTGTTTGTTAAATTGCTTGCAGAAACTTCATATTTTCATTCCTCTCAGAGCTAGAGTCTGAAAATAAAGGCAGTTTATAAAGCATACTGACAGCTTTTAAAGAGTTGATGAACTCATATTTGACATATAACTTCTTGTGGGAGGTGGAGGAAGAAATGGGAAAGAATACTTTTTTCAGTCTTTTGTTATCATTAGGACATAGATTTTTTAAATATATATAATAACAAGTTTCAAATTATATTTTTTTTTATCAATACTTTAATCTTAATGCACAAATACTGGGTTTTAATGATGATCCTGGGATACTCAATAGCCCTTGTAAGTCAGTGAGGTGTTAGTTCAATTTGCCTTTTAAATTTTATTTAAGGCTTATTTAAGATATTGTGTCTTGGATATTTTAACTGTAACATTAATCTTTTTTTGTTTCCCTGATTTTAATGTCAGTTGTTAGGGAAATGTTGAGAAAATCTCTTTTCTTTTGAGGTCTTTCACATATAGACTAATGCTGGAGTGATCACTTGATCTTTCCAAATCTCAGTACTGAAAATAAAAGTCCATGT